TAATAATTTCCCTTCAAAAATTATTGCTATAAATAATTATTTTTATTACAAAGTATTTCTGGTATTAAAACCTATTTTGAAACAAGTTTGAGTGTTAACTATTTTCCCATAGCTGGGACCCTAACAGGTTCTACCACCCCGGGTTAGGGTGGGACTGGGAACACCAGCAATTAAGAGGTGGTTCCACGCTCCTCAAAACCTCCTGGTCAGAGGCCTTGCTGTTGGACATAGTTTATCGTCTTACCCAAGACACGGATGTAGTTTATCGTCGTAGCCAGGACGGAACACTAAGACAAAACTGAATTTATTTTTATTAACATATATATCATATACATACGTCGTAATATATTATCTTAACTTACTATTTCAAATATAGTTTTTGGGGCATACAAGCAAAATGATCAAAAAATTTGCAGCAAATACTTTGGCTTTCAGTAAATCAGTAACAACTGCTGCTGATTACTGGACGTGATGTGTGGTGTCTGACTTAAGGTTTTCTCCGTATTAACTCTGTATTTCGTCTTAAAGTTTCATGACATTTAATTGTGTAAAGATATTACTGCGAATTTAATTTTGCGCAAATGAGGTGCAGATTTTAAAAGGCGAATGTCTGTTTGCAATTTTTTAGTTTTTCATTAAAATGGCTATAAATTGACTGAGTACTGTGTGACACAACTGAAATAAAAATACCTTAACCTTATAAATAATATATAATTCTGTACGAAGATGAATTTCATAGAAGCAGCAATGCGTAAATCAGACGTTATTGTCCAATATATATATATATATATATATATATATATATATATATATATATATATATATATATATATATATATTTCTTTTTGGAAATATCCATACTGATCACTAATATTATCATGATATATATATATATATATATATATATATATATATATTCATAATAATAATAATATATATATAATAATATTAATAATAACAATAAAAATAATATATATAATAATATAATATACTGTGCTGGACATTGAGTTCTACCTGGATTCTATCCCCTTGGAATTATTTTTTATACAAATATATATGTATGTGTATGTATGTATGTATATATATTTATATATTTTAGATATATGATTGCATATATATGTGTATATTTACCACTAATATTATCAATATCTCTCTCTATATATATATCTATATATATCTATATCTATCTATCTATCTATCTATATATATATATATATATTGGACAATAACGTCTGATTTACGCATTACTGCCTCTGTGAAAGTTTTTTCGTACAGAATTATATATTATTTATATTCTTTTGTAAATATCCATACTGATTCATAACATTATCATAATATATATATATATATATATATATATATATATATATATATATATATATATATATATAGGTTGATGGATAAATCGTCGTGTAAATTATGCCAAAATGAAAATAACACTGACATTTCATTTTAACAGATATATTTACCAAAATTACAAAAAAAAAATAATCTTGAAATACTAAAGATTAAATTTATTCAATAAAATCGCCATTGACTTCAACCACGAGGTCAAGAGGATTTCGGAATCTCCTACATCTCTTCTGGGCGGTCTTCTTGTTTAAGTTGGTGAATGCTGCCATAATCCTTGCTTTCAGTTCATCTTTGGTGTTACATTACTGGTCTCTCGTTCAACTGCACCCCACACATAATAATCAAGGGGGTTGCAGTCTGTGAAGCTAAGTTGGAAGATTTAAGGGGTGATGCGGTCGTAGAAATTGTCTGACAGTCATAACTGGATTCTCCTGCATGTGTGGTACATAGGGTCTTCCAGCAGCCACACTCTTGACCCAGGACAGCACTACCCCCACAAGGCACATGCTGTTGGCCTTCGTGTTGGGTCTGAGGCCCTCACCAACAAATTCGGGAGTTCTTTTCTCATCAGAACGATCATAGTGAGTTTTCCAAGCTGCCGTGCCTTCGTAATCACCATTAGATGCATTCATCTCTTTCTGAATCCTCTGCACTGTCCTAACACTTTGGATTGTTTATATTGGAGCTTCCGGTGCGAATGCCAAGCAGTACAATATGCCGTTTCCAAATTTCTGGCAGAGTGACTTGTGTTATAATGTTCTTTTTCTCACAAACGGCACCTAACTGACCCTGGGTAGTCGACAAAATCAAAAACAAACAACGCGTAAGCGAGAAATAAAGAATATATAAATGTCAATAATTTACCCATCGCAACCCAAGATTAATTTCGGTCGAGCACTCCCGAGAGAAAGCGCGAATTTGTAAACAGTGACTACTACTGCTGATAATGAATTGAGCCCTCTCGGTCACTGGCATTTTTATTCAAAAGAATAACTACGCAAAAACTCACCTACCTCTCTATCAGGCACTGATTCCTTAGGGGTAAAATCTCCGACTGATGCTAAATCAGGCGGGTTTCGATCAGATGCCTAGCCACACTGATGAGCTGTGATACAGCGAAACAGTCTGCCTGTGGATGACAATATATATATATATATATGTGTGTGTGTGTGTGTGTGTGTGTGTGTGTGTGTGTGTGTGTGTGTGTGTGAGCGTATAGAGGAGGTGGATGATTTTGAGAATCCGGTCTCCACCATCAGTACTCAGGCTACCTCTACGCGGGAGATCAAGAGATGGCTGGCATCAGCAATAAAATTGGTAAGCATCTGGAATAGTCGGATAATATATATCAGCCAAAAGTTGAAATTACTACGCGCCATTGCTTCCACCATCGCCAGCTACGGATGTCGGCATGTCGCAGATTCCTTAAAGTACCAAAGTATCATGTACACCGAGATGCACTACTAAGTGGGTACTAGGTACCATAAAGGGTGACTAATATTGCATAATAGTTTAGTACTCTTTTCTTTGTTGCCAACAAATAAATTCCTATTTCTTAATCATTTGCTTAACTTTTGCAAGATATCCTTCGCTATTCCCAAAATACTTATTATATTAAAAACAAACCTCATCATATCAAAGCTAATTCCGTTTTAAGGAAGGTTTCCCGTGTGAATCAAATAAAGAGCTGTGTTCGAAATTTAAGACACCTGAGAAACAGCAGAAAACACAAAGGTCGAAATGTTGTGAAAAATAAAACAATAAAGACAAGGAAATTTGCCTGAAAGAATCTAGAAAACTTCATCTAAGAAATTTATTTAGAAATTTTCAGATCGGTTTACACCCAATATAAAACAGGGATGGTGAGTTGAATTGGTTGATTGTACGCTTGTATTTTTTTAATGACGAAATCTGTATACTAATAATAATACACAATACACACTGACAGAACAATCAAAGTCAACCGCCCAGACATTGTTATTAAAGACTACAAACAAAAAAAGTGCCTCCTTATTGATATGGCAGTCCCTGCAGACTGCAATATATCTTTGAAGATATTCAAAAAGCTATCAAAATACAAGGACCATGAAATCGAAATCTCAAAAATGTGGCACATGGGAACATCAACAATCCCTGTTGTAGTTGGAGCCCTAGGACTGGTTGGAAAAGATTCCTGTCGACTAACTGAAGGGATTCCTGGAAGTCTATGCCTCAAAGCGATACAAAAAATTGTTCTGACAAATACAGCCCACACTTTACGAAGGGCTTTATCTATGTAATTTTTTTTTTTTTTTTTGTCAGTGGAAAGTGTCATGCTGCCATTTCTAACCTTAGGTCCCTGGACGGGACCCGAAAAGAAATGTGTACACGCCAGAAATCAAAGATAATAATAATAATAATAATAATAATAATAATAATGAAGAAAAAGGAGGAAGGGAGGGGATGAGGAGGAAGAAGAGGAAGGAGGAGCGGGAAAAAAGAAGAAGAAAAAGAAGAAAGCGCCCTCGCCGATTTGGTGGCCATAATATCAAGACAAACTTCAGAAATACACTGACCCCCGGAATGTGGGACTTTCGGGCCATTATTGTCCCAGTTATCATTGGAGCGTTACGCTCTATACCACCGAACCTAAAGACTTACATTTAAGAAACTCAGAAATAAGCCTCGTATTCCATCGCTTCAGGAGTCTGCTTTGCTTGACACTGCAAATATTCTGCGAAAGGCGTTATGTTTATTGTCGTATGATTTGATAGAAAACACCCATAATGTAAGATCTCAGGTTGAAAAGGAAAAACCCTGCGGCAGAATATATTATTATTATTATTATTGATTGATTGATTGATTGATTGAGAAAGCGACACACCAGCAAATGACGCTAGGGTACAGATATACAAAGTCCAACAGAACCATCGTGACACTTAAGTTGATCAGACACATACATAACAAATAAATGTGCGAGATATAATACCAAATTTGGGCACCTCGAGGTGGTGTAATGGTTAGCAAGCTTGTCTGGCTGGAACAATTACGACTGAGCAGTGAGTTCGATCCTCACTAGGTGCCTCATACTTTCGGCCTTGTGCCACATCTAAGCTACGCTTAGAAAATTGGGCACTTCGAGGCGGTGAAATGGTTAGCAAGCTTGGCTCGCTAGACCAATTACGACTAAGTTGTGAGTTCGATCCTCACTGGGTGCACCCTTATTTCGGTCTTGTGCCACATCTAAGCTACGCTTGAAAATCACTGTAATATTAAATTTTCATAAAAAATTATTATTTTTTATTTATATTATTTCTGAGAAAGTGCTGCACGCCAACAAAGAGAGGCTAGTGTAGAAATATACGAAGCTATCTTGATATGATACCTAATGGGCTACAGGTAACATAAAGTAAGGAAGACAGAACCCCAAATGATCAATAAGTCGACATTCCTATAAATTTAGGGATAGAAATAAAGAAAAATGGCCACCAAATAGCATTAAATGTAACAATAATATTTTTGAAACTGCCTAAAAAGTTTATCTTTTTCTTTTTATTTACAAATGTAACAACTATTATGGGATTTGTTTTTTATTTATTTATAGCATTTCGTGTCTGTTAGACGAATGTAAATTCTTGAAATATCGCCAACAAAGTCGTATCTGTCATTCACTGGAAGAGTTCAGGGAAGGGTTGAGTCTGTTTGATGCAGTGGAGGTTGGATGGCCATGTCTGATCGGAGAGAGAAAGATTAAAGTGTCTATCATCTGACAAATGGAACGCAGATTAGTGAAGGATCAGGATCACATTTTGATCGGCTCATTTCAAATGAGGACATCTGATTCGATTTGATGCGCCATTTTGATCCCCACGCCCCTCTCGTTCTCTGTTTTTTCTTTCCTTTTTCTCTTTTTCTCAATTTCTTTTTCCTTTTTTTTTTTAACATGGCTTCAATCTTCAATAAAACCATTTCCGATGTTACGGTTTAATAAGCGCAACAAACAAATTATTTCCTTATCATTTAATATTATAAATACACCTTATCGAAAACTTTTGACAGCATATGCAGAAAGAAGAAAAAGAAACGCTAAAAGGCTGAAAACTTGTAAGAAATTATTTTTTAAAATAACACAAAAACAAGACTAGTTATATTAACTACAAATACACTAACGAATGAGCTTTAAAGAAAATTAACTGATCTCAGCATAAAATTTATCACAAACTGTGGAGGGAAAAACAATGTAAAATCAACAGTTAACGTTATAGCTTAGGCAGAAGTCTATGAAATTGAATGTAAACAGTGCTTTTAAAATTACATCGGTGAAACATCCCACGATTTAAAGAATATAATACATGAACATAAAAGGGATCTAAATTAGAGAACACATTCAAGGCATTTGCATGTAAACAAAAATTTCTTGATTACAATTTTAACGTGGAAAATTACATTTTTAATTAAAAAAAATGAATATAAATTACTCAAAGATATACTGAACAGTTCATGATTTATCAGTCCTCTTTTTTTATCATTTCAAAGCAATAAAGCCACTAAGACGCAGGGGGTTACTGAGTGCGAGAGAATATCAGGAAAACAAAATTTTATTGAGGGGGAGGGGGAACAATAAAAGAACAAGAATTAAAAATAGAAAAGATAACGATTGACATTACATTGAATTTTTTAAAGATGAAAGTTGCCTGGATAAGCAAGAGGCCAAAACAGAGTGACACAAGCGAGAAGAGCGAGAGAAGGAACTATTAGTATAGGACTTACGGTTACATCAAGCCTTTTCAGTTGTAAAATGTTGCGCTCTTGCTGCCAACCTCGTACTGCGCTTAAATTCATAAAATCTAGCTGCCATAGAGTAAAGCTTATCAGAACAATTACCATGAAAATATTTATAGAATATTTTAATTAGGATTAATTTAATTTAATTTTTGATTAATATACAATCGGGCTATTTCAATTTAACGCTGTTCTTACAAAATTAGAACTAAAACAATATGGGATACATACGCTTTGAAAAAAATAAAATGAAAGAAAAATTGAACAATAAAAACTGAGTTGAAATTAGTTGAAACGGAATGTTTCAAGATATTCAGACACTTAGATTGAAGCAAATTTCGTCTCCCTAAGGTAGATTTGTGTTCTTGTGAAATAAAATAAAATAAAATTCTTTTTCTGAGAACGCCAGTATATTGACGAAATATGACAAAGTAGAAATTTTCTAAAATGTCATATTTATTTACCATTCCGTCGGATACTCGGTCAACTACACACACACACGCACATATCTATCTATCTATCTATCTATCTATCTATCTATCTATCTATCTCTACTATATATATAT